TTTTTGACACTGAGATTGCTTTTTAAATACTTAGCATGTTTTTCAAGGATAATTAACGTTCTAAATAATTATAAAGCTGTTGCATGCTTTCAGGCTTGTATATATTTTTAGCTATTCCTTTGATGTAAGCGAATTTATAACTTCTTCTTTTAGAAAATAATATTTTAAATCTGAACTAACAGAAAAATTCAACCAAGTGATTTTCTCTTACAATTACTAAAACTATAACTAATACTAAACTATAGCTAAATACTAAAATGCCTAAAAATGAATTTTTGAAAGTTTCTCTTTAAAATTTATAATTTGTTGCTGCTTTTTTAAATTATAGGCAAATTTTAATTCCTAACATTATAACTAGTCAAAAATAAGAATATTTCAGAACGAAAAGTATACATCTTATATAGCTGGTTTTGTTATTAAAAGCTTAGCTTATAAAGTAAAATGTAATATCTGTTTCTCAGCTTTAGTTTCAACAGAACCATATGATGGTTTGCTAGGTTTCAAATATTATAAATGTAAAGGTTTGACTTCTCCTTCCAGTGATGTCCGAATGATCTGCAAAAATGCAGAAATAATTTTGACTGAAAAGGAGTTTAAATTAAATAAAAAAATATTATAAATTTCATGACTCTAAAAGTCTTAAAAACGTAGGAACACATATATTTCCTTCTCTTCAAGACCATATTTATGATAATGAGCCAGATAAAAACCACCTGATTAAATTAATTAAAGCAGTGATATTTCAATATTTAAAAATCAGAATGCATCATGCAGTTGCATGTTACAATGAATCTAAACAGAGAAAAAATATTCGAAGCAGATTTACTAAATTAATTTTATTTAAGCATCAATAAACCATATTATCTGTTTCTCTTCCTTTCTCTCTCTAAATATATATATATAGGTGTGTGTATTTACATTAATAGATAAATAGATATAATCTTGTTTTCACAAATATTTGAAATAAAAAACGAAGTAAGCGAATTTTTCAATGCAACAAATATCCTAAATTGTTTACTTTCATACATATGTATTTATGGATGTATAGTCATTCTGCTTAAAGTATTTACAGATATATAAAATTACAAGGTTACTTTAGGCGCATTAATAAAAATTTAAGATTGGACATATAATATCTTGTATTTTATAGTAATTATTTTTTTAAAAATTTATTTCTAGTTCCGCATAAGATTTTTTTATTTACTGCGAATTTTTTAAAAAAAATTTTCATTACACTCAGAAAAGTTTATGCTCCGAATTTTATGAGTTATTAATATTGTCATAAATGATCATCTTTTAATACCATAATAATTTTGAAAACAGAAAAAATAAATAAAACAATCCTTGGTTTCTATAAACATTTGAAATGATAAATATTTGCTACTACTGCCTGAAAATGTTCATAAAATTAAAAAAAATTACCAAATCTTGTTTAATTTTACCTTATTTGTTTCATAGCATCATGTACTATCAATCTTACTTAAGTTTACTTTATTTGTAGGCAAAAGTAAATTCATAAATTTTTTGTTTAGAGTTTTTACCGTTTTATCAAAGTAATGATGTTTAGACAAGAATTACGCTTATGCTCAAAATGCAGTAAAAAAGATACTCAAAATGCACTAAAAAGTGGTTTCATGAGATATATAAAATCTTATTAGCAAAAACTGTGATTTTTATTATCTCATCATTTATACAACGTATCACATTTAATAATTAAAAAGAGTTATGTGATACAAACGCCATATGTTTCAATGTTACGATAAACTAAATCGTCCCTACTCTCGCTTCCCGACATGTGTGTGACGCACGCCCCGCCCACTGGGTTAGTCTATTTCTTATAAGGTCCATGAGGTGGCCACCATTGCGTCATATGAGAGGACGAACAGTTATAACTACGCCTTCTCCGGTATTCGAATCTGAGCCTATTGCTACGACAGTCAGTGTCACCAACCACTATACCGGCTGGACGGCTAAGTCTAGAACATTTACGTATGGAAGGTTTTTCGTTGAGGTGTAGTATGTCTTGAGTGCTGCTATGAGTAAATGTACGCTTACCCAGAGTGCAAGAGAGAAATATAGAAAGAATAAGGAAGATTTTAAAAGGAGCTATTCAAAATTTGAAAGATTTTGCAAAGACAATAATGAATATTATAAATACGAACAAAGAATACAACTGGAATTAGGCCCTGAGACTCAGATTTTGGATTTCAGCTGTTTTTTCTTTTAAACGACGAGCAGGTCGGCCGTGTCTCGTTATTTATATTGCCGTCCTAGTTTTGCTATGGCTGTAGGCGGACTGTCCTTAATGATAAGTCTAAGTTTTGAGCCCACAGCGGCGGCGTAATCAGAACATGGTTCGCCGAGTCGGTCCGCGAACGGCTGCGCTGGGTGTTGCAACTCAACTCTGAGATCCGATGGCTGAGTGACGTCATCTCGAACTATGAACTCTCGCTAGAGATCACGAGAACTCGGAACTGAGAAGTCGCACGCTGCGTCGTGCGAACATTTAAACCTTTCATTATGTAAATATTCTGTAACCGTTTGCGTCTTCATTAAATATGTTTGTGTTAAGAAAGTTTATCATTTATGGATTATCCCTCTCAAGATTTTGCAGATGCACAGCACAGAGGAACTTCATGGCCCTGGCCGAACCCATTGGAACAAGGTAAGCAGTTTTGTTTTACCTTGATTAATTAGTTAGAAGTAAGATAAAGAATATAAAATAATAATATTGTGGCGCCATAACGTGGGGCCATTGGGTTGAATTTGAACTGAAATTTAATAGATTTTGCTTAAGCAAAAACATGGATTTAGAAAAATTAAAAAAGAAACGATCTGCTATAAGAGCAGTAGTTACGAGGCTAATAAATAAGATAGAAACAGAAATTGCTAATGAGGGGGATAAAAATGTAATTGAAGAAACGGTTGCTCAGTTAATTAGTAAAGAAGAAGAACTAATCTTAGCGGATAATGGTATTGAAACTTTAATTGATGTAGCAAATTTAGAAGATGAAATAATGTCTAGAGAAGAGTATAAAAGTAAAATTATTATTTGGAAATTACGCGCGAAAAGATATTTAGATACTAATCCACATAGCGCTAATTCTACTTCATATGGAAATGTCACTGAATCGCAAACAAAATTAAACTCCCCAAATTGGCCCTGGAAACATTTTCGGGAAAGTTGTGTGCAGTTGGCCCGGGTTTTGGGCACGATTTGAGACAGCTGTACACGAAAACGAAAGTCTACATGCAGTAGATAAATTTAACTATTTAAAGTCAATTCTTACTTCCGATGCAGAAACTGCAATACAAGGGTTGACGTTAACAGCGGAGAATTACGAGAAGGCTGTGAAAATATTAAAAGATCGCTTCGGACGCAAAGAACTAATAATAGATACCCATATGAACAATTTATTAACTCTGACTCCGGTTAAAAGGTCTTGCGATGTGACAGCACTTCGAAAATTATATGATCGTTGTGAAGTACAAATTAGAGGATTAGAATCGTGTAATATTTTACCGGATTCGTACAGTACCTTATTGTATCCGATATTAATAAAGGTGATTCCGAATGATTTAGCACTAGAATTTAATAGGAAATATGAAGATGATAATCAGACAAAAATTACGAATTTGCTCCATTTTCTAAGAAAAGAAATAGAAAGTCGAGAACGTACAGGATTTTTAATTAAGCCAACAGATTCTGAAGTCACTGAAAAGAAATCCCATTTTGAAAATAAGCGGCAGTTTGGAGAACGTTTTCGAGACAGCGAAAGAAATCGGGATTATAATAAGGGTAGAATTCCTTCAGCGGCAGCGTTAAACACATCACTATCTAATAGCTGTTTATTCTGTTCTGAAAATCATACGTCAGAATCATGTCAAAAAACTGTGCCAGAGAAAAAGGATGCGTTAAGGCGAAGGGGTTTTTGTTTCAGGTGCCTCAAAAGACGCCATTTAGCGAGGATGTGCAAATCGAAACTAACTTGTGGTATTTGCGATCGGCGACATCATACATTGATACACTCTGACGAAACGAATGCGTCAGACAAGAGTCCCTTCAAAGGGCAGTAGTCTCTTCTGTTTCGGATTGCGCAACAGCAAATAACTCATTTCTTCTGACAGCACGAGCTGAAATTATAAACACAGGCAATTGGCGCCAGCAAAGCGTTCGCTTGTTGTTTGATTTAGGATCGCAGCGAACATTTATTACAGAGGACATCTGTAAGAAATTAAAACTTCCCGTTATTGGAGAAGAAAAAATAAAAATATTCTCTTTCGGCTGCACGACGTCTGAAGCGCAGAATGTTAAAAAAACCAGGCTCATTTTGCGTAATTCGAAGAATCGATATGAAATCAAAATAGAAGCTTTAATTATTCCTGTCATTAATGGATCACATATTCATTCCCCTAGAAATGAAATAGTTAATCTATTATTAAAAAACAGGGCATACAACTTTTTCCGATGAATGGGGACCAGGGAATAAACCGCCGAAAATTTCTTTGCTGATAGGAGCGGATTTTTATTGGAAAATAGTTACGGGTAAGGTTCACAGACTGTCTAATTCCTTAGTAGCGGTTGAAACAAAATTGGGTTGGACCATTAGTGGAACAGAAAGGGCTTACGGAATTTCACAAACTAATGTGAATACTATGAAGGTTGTGGTTCATAATAATAAAGATACACAGAACGAATCACTGTCTAGTTTGCTGAAGAATCTCTGGGAGCTCGATTCTATGGGGATAAATTATGATTCGGATAAGGAACTCGAATTAGAAGATAATTTAGTTTTCGATAATTTCAAAAGATCTGTGAAATTTGAAAACAATCGTTATATTGTGCGCCTTCCTTGGAATCATAATTCAAATGAGCTAGGAGATAATCTGGAGATTGCTAAAATTAGATTTAAGAGTTTAAGTAAGTCGTAGATTTCAGAATAATCAACAGTTCTATGACAGATATCGCGAAGTAATTGATAAGGTACTTAAAAGAAGGAATCGCCGAAGAGACTAACATTGAAATTGGACCAAAAACGTATTTTATGCCGCATCAAGCCGTTATAAGAGAAAACAAGGAAACTACAAAACTCCGTGTGGTTTTTGACGCTTCGTCACATGCGGAGAATTGTTTGTCATTAAATGACTGTTTACATTCAGGTCCCAAGATGTGTCCAGACATACTGGAATTGCTCCTTAAGTTCCGTCAAAATCGAATTGCGTTTACAGCTGACATCGAACAAGCATTCTTGCAGATTTCTCTTGCTGATGAAGACAGAAACGCAGTCAAGTTTCTATGGAACGATGGTGAATTAAATGGAACCAAAATAAAGGCTCTTCGTATGACAAGGGTAATTTTTGGAGCAACATCTAGTCCGTTTCTTCTCAGAGCAACTCTTAATGTACACGCTGACAAATACAAGTTACAGTATCCGAACGTATTTTCCATGCTAACTGAAAATATGTATGTTGACGATTTAATCGCTGGAGCAGATGAAGAATCAGAAGCATTCGAGGAATCGGAACATATTAAACGCATACTGAAAGAAGGTGGATTTAACATGCGGAAGTGGAAAACGAATGAAACGAATTTACAAAGGGTATGGAATGAAGAAGATTTTTCACACGATTCGACTTGTTCTAAAGTATTGGGATACATATGGAATAGGTCAAATGATACATTTTTTGATAGAAATTGAAGATTTGGTAAAAGATGCCAAAAGGATAGATAACATACCAACTAAAAGGGAAATCTTGAGATTTGTAGGACGTTTCTTTGATCCACTGGGGTTTTTAAATCCATACACCATTCGAGCTAGGATTTTATTACAAGATTTATGGGAACAAAAGATAGCATGGGACACTGAAATACCAGAAAATCTCAGAAAGAATTGGCAAAGCTGGTGTGATGAATTAGCTCATATTTCTAGTTTGGAAATACCAAGACATCAGTTTGCAGGTGCTGGGAAAAGGGATATAAAGGATGGTTTACAGTTACACTGTTTCACAGATGCGAGTCAGAAGGCCTATGGGGCTGTTCTGTATTTTCGTTATTCGAAAAATGGAGTCATTCATACAAGTTTCATTACATCAAAATCACGAGTAGCACCTTTGAAAAAATTATCACTTCCCAGATTGGAATTGATGGGTGCTTTGATAGGCTCTCGCGCTTGTCAAAATTACATTCAAAAGAAACTTCGGGACATTGATTTAATTGTATATATGTGGACCGATTCTAGTATAACGTTACACTGGATTAGAAGTGATGTGAAAAGGTGGAAGCCATTCGTTCAGAACAGAGTGAAGGAAATACAGAAGAATTCAGATGTCTTGAACTGGAGATATACGCCTGGTGAACATAATCCAGCTGGTTTACTAACTAGAGGTGAAAATGTACTATGGGGAGGCTTTTGGGAGCGTATGGTTCAGTCTCTTAAAGCTCTTCTGAAGAGAATCTTAGGAAAAATCATCCTTGACATTCAGGGAATTAGAGACAGTCATAACAGAAGTGGAAGCTATATTGAACTCCAGACCTTTGACATTTACATACTCGGATCTAGGAGAGCCAGAATCTTTGACCCCTGGTCACTTCTTAATAGGAAGACGATTACTATCATTGCCACAAGGAAGCTCTAAATTAACTTCAACAAAGGAGAGTCTTACACGTCGATTTAGACATCAACAGATACTGGTAGAAAGAATCTGGCGAAAATGGAGGCAGGATTATTTGATGAATTTAGAATCTGCTCATCATTCCAAACTGGCGAAAACAGGAACCTGTTTGAATAAAGGAACTGTTGTATTAGTGCATGAAGATAAAATTACACGGCTGATGTGGAAGATGGGCATCAAATGGAAGTCTTTCGTGGGAGAGATGGCAAGGTGAGAGCCTGCTGTCCGCTTGCCCAATGGACATACGATTAAAAGACCAGTGCAATTACTATATCCGGTGGTGCTGGAATGTAATAAGGACAATTACGGCAATTGTCCTTCCGGGCGAGAGGATGTTGCAACTCAACTCTTGCTGAGATCCGATGGCTGAGTGACGTCATCTCGAACTATGAACTCTCGCTAGAGATCACGAGAACTCGGAACTGAGAAGTCACACGCTGCGTCGTGCGAACATTTAAACCTTTCATTATGTAAATATTCTGTAACCGTTTGCGTCTTCATTAAATATGTTTGTGTTAAGAAAGTTTATCATTTATTGATTATCCCTCTCAAGATTTTGCAGATGCACAGCACAGAGAAGAATTCATCCAGTGGCCCTGGCCGAACCCATTGGAACAAGGTAAGCAGTTTCGTTTTACCTTGATTAATTAGTTAGAAGTAAGATAAAGAATATAAAATAATAATAGGGTGTTTTCGTGGTTTTCCCCATGTGTAACGTGTATACGAGCCTTCCCTTTGAAAGTCCTCCACGAAGGCATCCCTTCCCTTAGGCAGATAGCCCTAGTGTGCTTTGCCATAATTAAATACACTACACCACACCTTAAGTGCTTGTAACCATAAAGGAATTAAATTATTTGATAATTCTTGAAAGACGGTTATTTTACACATTATTTCATCCAACACAATGCTGAAGAGCGGGTTGAGGGGAAGAAATAAAACAGAGTTTTAGACAGAATACATGAATTGTGAAAGGGGTTTATTGTATCAGCTTATTATGTAGCTAATTTTTTCTTTGCTATACCGTTGACGGATTTTTAAGGATACTGTTGACTAAGATTTTATGTTAATTAACCAGTTGTTATAACTTGAAACTTTACTATAACTTCTTTCTCCTCACCGGAATGCAAATTAGTTATTGCCTATTTAAGTCGAGGGTTTTTGTGTTTAGAGCTTCTGGCACCTCGTCTTGCTGTTATTTACTTTTGCCGATTTTGTCGCTCAAAAGTTTATTTCAGCTTTAGCATGTTGCTAGCTGAAGTTTAACGCACCGTTAATTATCTTCAGCCAGCTTAAGTAGTCTACTCTGTGTGTAGTCTTGATTATGTTAACTATATTTGAATTTAATTTTATCTTATGTTAATTACCTGCAAGTAGCGGAGGTTTGCCTGTTGCACAAGTACTGCTTACTGTCCTTTTACACAAGTATTGCCTATTGTTCTTTTAAGAACTGAAATTTAAAAAAAAAAAAAAAAAAAAAAAAGGTTATTTTAACATTCTTACGATTTGATTATTTATTTCAAACATTCTTAAGATTTAATTATTTATTTTAAGCATTCTTAAGATTTGATTATTTGTTTCAGACTAAAGCGATTATTCTCTTCTCGTCTAATAGGGTCTGCAGAATATTGAAACAAGCATCTCGATACAGCAAAAACTACAGGATCAGTTATAGTATATCGAATTTCCACAGATCTGATTTTCGTACATCTCTGGTTAACACAGAAGTGACGATTAGATCAGTGCGTTTTTCCAAATGGTTTTTATCAAGACCCATGACAATTCAGCTTAACTTGGTTTTGATTGCAACTAACTGACTCATTGACTGATTACTTATAGCCAGAATACCCACTGAGATCAGTAGTTTAGCTGGCTCAATCAAATTTATGCCAGATGGGCACAATAACATAGAACTACCATCTTCACATAATGTCCGCCGTAAGGAGGAGCAAGAACGGATAAAGAATAGGAAGACCAGCAACGCAAGAGCTCACTAGCAAGAAACCGGCCCGGTAAAGGCGTGACTAAGTGGAAGTCATAAAATGAGTGTAAAATGTTAATAAAACTAGTGAATTTAAGAAATACACAGTACAATAAATGAGTAAGATACAAAATTAAGAATACTAATAAACACATTAGGTACATTATTTACAGGTGGGCACTAGGTGGGAAAGTTCGGGTCCTTGATAAGGTGGGGCGCAATTTGGCGTCCTCATTCAATATTTCGTAGGTAAAGATATCAAAATTTCTCATATGGTCACAGTTCAGAGTTTTCGTGAAGAATTTCCTGTTGATCTTATTCAGGTGCTCTTCTAGAGTGTCCTGTTTTAACTCACAGTGTAATGTAGCATTGCTCACAAAAAAGTGAGCATGGGTAATAAGCCTTAAACTTTTTGTTTTGCATGATTTGAAGTCTTTTTATATCCTCCTTGGTAGCCGTGGACCAGGCCGGCGACGCATAAGTCATCAATGGCCTAATTGCCTCAATTAGGCCATTGATGACTTATGTTAATATTAATACTTATGTGTTAATATTAATTCTGATATATATTATTCTCTTTTTCCTGAGGTCTAAGCTAGAATAATTACCCAATATAGAGATGAGACTATTTACAACAGTGAAAATTTTTCTTCTGACCTCTGTTATACGATCTCCCCATTTTAATCTTTCATTTAGCATTACTCCTAAATATTTCGCCTTACTAACTCTAGGAATCTCTTCAGAGAATAAGAAGAGCTTGCTATTAATAGTCAACTGTGTATTTTTCCTCCTTATCGTTAATAATTGCGACTTGCTGCCATTAATAGCAATCCTTCAAGTCGTACACCACTTTTCTACCACTGATACTGATACGCAGTCGCATGGACCTCCGACCTAAGGTTCTACACCAATCAGAGTTATATGTCCATGCGACGGAAAAGAATCTACAATCCACCGCCAGCGGCATTCACTGAATCAATGATAGTAATATTACAATGCTAAATTGACAGTGTCATCTATACAATAATTGTTACATAATAATCCGTATGAAAAATAAATATACGATCAATTAATAATTACATTGTCATGGATAGGATCTATGTTGTGGAGAGTGGAACTTATATTAACCAGTTTTTAAACCTATGTCTTCTTCAATACATCATAACTTCATGTTCTTATCAGTTACACACCTAATGATGTGTGTCCGTATTATTTTTGCGGTTATCCACAGAGTAAGCCAGTCACATCAGTTCAGGCAATTGGATAGTTCCGTAGCCCAAAGTATATGATGTTGTGTAGGCTATTCTATGTTCACTTTTGTTAAATTCATCGTTCAAGTAAATACTACTTGTCCACTTTGAAACATCATAACTTCGTGTCCTTAACAGTTATAGGGGTGTTTGTGCTCCGGGGAAACCCCAGAATTCCGGGGATTTTGAATATCGTCGTTCAAAAGGAAGTAGGAATGATAATGAATTATTTATTTTGATCTGGGCAATTTTGTTTGCTTTGAAAGCAGAAAACGCAAGGTCAGTGTGTGTGGTGAAAACTTTGGTTGATCTTTACAATATGGTAACTGGTAGTTTGGCGACATTTTGGAGGCGATAAAGGTTACTACCTGGGACTTTGGTAATAATGTGAGCAGTACTCAGTTCCGATTACGCATTATTTTGTGTGAGGGAAATGAGAGATCATGGGATATGTCATGTGATATTAATGGACGAATTACGGTTCTTTAATCGGAAAAGAGGGGAAATCGGGAAAAAATCTCCAAAGGCAGTGATATGCGTGAAAAGGGGGAAAAAACTTCTTTTTTGTTCTTTCATTATTGCGAGTTATGACTCATTCCCCCGGTTCTCGGATATTCTCTTCTGGATTCTTTTCGGCAAGTAGGCGCGGCAGAAAAAAAGGGAGAGACTTCGTTCGACCAGATGTGCGATCACGTGACTGTGGGTTCAAAGGTCTTATCTCTCCTGGCGTGGAAGAAAGAAAATAATCTATTTTAGAAGTTTCTTTCATTAAAAAAATGTTCTATGATTCAAAATATAG